GGGCCCGTCCCGCCAAAGCCATGCGACTCCTGCAAGCTGGCTTCGGCGGCGCTTTTCTGCCCCCCCGATTCCGCCTTCCTCTGCATCGCCTGTGACACCAAGATTCACTGTGCCAACAAACTCGCGTCGCGCCACGAGCGCGTGTGGATGTGCGAGGTGTGCGAGCAAGCCCCCGCTGCTGTCACGTGTAAGGCAGACGCTGCCGCACTCTGTGTCACGTGCGATTCTGACATCCACTCCGCCAATCCCCTCTCCCGCCGCCACGACCGCCTTCCCGTTCAGCCCTTTTTCGACTCTGCTGAATCCATAGTCAAAGCTTCCGCCGCTGCCTCCTTCGGCTTCCTCGTCCCCACCGACGACGCCGCCGCCTTCGCCCCGGACGACGCCGACGCCGCGGCCTGGCTCATCCCCAATCCCAATTTCGGCTCCAAACTCATGGACACACCAGATATCAAGTCCAAGGAGATTTTCTTCTCTGAAATGGATCCCTTTCTCGATTTTGATTACTCAAACTCCTTCCAAAACAACAACAGCACCACAAACGACAGCGTGGTTCCAGTTCAAAGCAAGCCCTCTCTGCCTCCCCCGCTCATGAATAACCACCACCAATCAGAGAATTGCTTCGACATCGACTTTTGCCGCTCCAAGCTATCGTCCTTTAACTATCCATCACAGTCTCTTAGCCAAAGCGTAAGTATATAGTAGTACTTGTACCACCAGTAGCAATTAATTAGGCACTTAAATATTATTGTATTTGTGCTGATGGGTGTTAATTTAAATTTTGTGACAGGTTTCGTCGTCGTCGCTAGATGTTGGAGTGGTGCCGGATGGGAACACGGTGTCGGAGATATCGTACTCGTTTGGTCGGAACAGTTCGGATTCGAGTGGAATTGCTGTGTCAGGGGGAAGTGCGGCGACCCAGTTGTGTGGGATGGACCGTGAAGCGAGGGTGCTGCGATACAGAGAGAAGAGGAAGAACAGAAAGTTCGAGAAGACTATTCGATACGCTTCGAGAAAGGCTTATGCGGAAACCCGGCCCAGGATTAAAGGGCGGTTCGCCAAGCGAACCGAAATTGATTCCGACGTGGACCGTCTCTACAGCCCTGCAACGGCTGCTGCGCTCATGCTCGACACTCCATACGGCGTCGTGCCCTCGTTTTAGTTTAAAATAAAATAATAAAAAAAAAGGAGGGAGGGAGGGTGCATGAATCTATGGAGTGGTGGGAAATGTTAGAATAATGATTAGTGATTCTGCGGGATTATTAGAAGAAGAATCGGTACGAACGTGATTCTTAGCTGGAGGCTGGAGGCTGGAGGCTGGAGCGCGATGGCTGAAGATTTGTCTGGATCAGCCAGAAAAGCCCGATTACTTTTTTAAAACAACTTTAAAGGGCTTCTTTCTTCTTTATATTCACCTCGTGTAGAATTAGAATCTGTACTGTAAACTCTTTTCACTGCCTTGCCCGCTGTCTCTTTTTAGTATGAAAGTGTCTTTTTTATATCAGCCGGATCACGGATCTCTTTCCCCGTTCTTATTGGGTGGCAGTGCCAGTGTGCCACTCTCCAACTATATATATCACTTTTTTATTACATGATCATCAAACCCTTTGCTTTTATCAACGGATCATATGCACCCCAACGTCACACCAAGTTTCGGATTTTGATTCCCTAATATTCCTTTTCACAATACTTGTGCTTTCATCTTTTATCTAAATCTTTCTAATATTGTTCGCTTTATTAATTATCTTTTTTATTCATAGGTTCTAAGAGAAAATCATAATTTCAAAAACAATAATATCTATCTTTTCATTTTTCAAATAATAAATAAAGAAACAAGTTACAAAATTAATGCTATGTTATTTTAAAACAAAATGTAAAGCTTAAAGATTCAATGTAGTTTATAAGGCATTTTAAATTCAATTATTATTATTATTATATATCCAAAACAAAATTTATCACTTATTAACAAGAGACTAAAATAAATTATAGTAAATAGGTACATTTAGTTGGAATTTCTATGTTAAGATTAAATTTTAGTTTTTAATTAAGGAATATAAATTCAAATTAATTTACCAACAATTTTTAGTAATAAAAGAGGAATATACTTTAGAGAGAAGAAGAAAAAATTATGTGTTCATATGGGTAAATATAAGAATGAGCAGCACAATTACACAAACACTCTGTTAATGATGTGTTTGACGGAGTCTAATTAGTGTCAAACACCGACACTTATATAACAAACATTCAACATGTGTTTAATACTTCACTTTGGTGTTAAAGTAAGAAGAAAAAAAATTATAGCTTGAATACGTGGAGGATGTGACTTGAATATAGCTCCAAAGTTAAAGGCATACTTTGTAGGACGAAAAATTAAAGTCACATGATGGGTACAATTTTTTTGAAAATAGTAAAATATAATTTTTACAAAGGTTAAGAAAAGCTTCTCTTATATGTACAGTGCTGTAAACATCTTCACTTTCATGATTTCTCCTTGACCTCTGTTCGACTTTGTTTTAGTCATATTTTTCTCCTGTCTTTCTTCCTCTATTTCTATCCTCATAGTTATCTCACTATTTTTGTTAAACCTGGTTTTTCTAGCTTGTTCACGACTTCCATTTTCATCTTCATTTCCTTTCTGATTGACATCTATAATTAATACCTTGTTTCTGACTTTCATCTTCATCTTCATTCTTTGATCTCATGTTCCGCTTTCATCTTTATATTCATTTCTATTTCAGTGTAGAAACAATGTAAAATTGTATTTCACTGTAATAATAGTGACAAAATTAACAATAGGTTATTTTAAAATAAAATGTAATAAATAAATTCAAATAATAGCTTATCACTCTAGCCACTAAATTATAAATTAACCTAGTGATGGAAAATTTGTGTAATTTATATGAGATTTTAAGTTTAAATTTTATTGTTGCTATTATGAAAAAAAAATATATCACTTATTAACAAAATCCTAAAATAATAGTTGTGGACTCAGAAAATAAAGGAGGATATACTTAAGAGGATAATAATTGTATTAATATATGTGGCTATAACTTGTGTAACACAAATATAAACATTGATGTTAAAAATGTGTTTGAGCGCCTTAGAGTGTGTGACAAGCTTCAAAGTTCAAACAGCGACGCTTGTACAACATGCGATGGATACTCCATTCATGTGTTTAAAATAAATAAAAGGTACAATCCTAACGCAGTGAAAACATGACTTGAAAATTTAGACAACACTTTTAATCAGTAGGATAAAAAAAGGAGCACAATTAGTATGTACAAAATTTCAATTAAAAATTATATAAAAAAACCTTTTAAAAATAGTAGATTAATATAATTTTTTGAAGGTTGAAAAAAACTTGCCACATATGCAAAATCGCAATCATCTTCACTTTCTTGATTTTCCCAACTTTTATTCGTCATTGTTTTGGTTTCTCCCTCTATTGGATACTTTTTTTATGGCTCACATCTTCATTTTTACACTTTAATTGCGTCTTCCATCTTCATCTTTATAGCCATTTGGATATAGTAATTACACCGGAAAGAAAATATCAGAATATATTTCAGCCATCTTGACCACCGATACAGCCGAATAACACCAATTCTTGATCGAGATAATAAACGTTTGTTATCGCGTTCCGCACACCTACGTTGGTCTCAGCATACCTGATAGTAGGAATCTTCATACAACTATTTTGAATTAAATTATTTAAAAATTAAATTAAATTAAATTATTTTGAATTAAATTATTAAATTCTCTCTTGTTTAATTTAGTTAGCCGAGATAATTTTAAGTTAATTATCATACACAATCACTAAATAAGGATATGAATTAAAAAAATTAAGACCAAGCCTTTAATTTCTAAAATGACAATGGATTTGTAGTAAATAAATTTTTATTTTTAAAAAAAATAATTTTTAGATCTTATAATTTTACTTACTTTACCTTTTAATTTTTATAATTTAAAATAAATATTTTTAGTTTTTATATTTATATTTTTCTTAAGTATTTTGTTCTTGCTGTTAATTTATTTCTAATACCATTATGTGTGAGTAACATTATCTTAATTATTATATCAACATGAAGATGATATATTTAATTTTATGTACAATAACGTGTGAATTAATGGTTTAAAAGAAGCGAAATGAAGAGTCTTTAATGATAAAATTTTAGAAGTTGCAAGGAGTTTTAATATATTTTTTTATGTAAACTCACAAAAGATTTAAAAGAAAATAATTTAATTATAAAATAAATAATCAAAATTATATTTATAAAATAAAAAATAAGATAAAATTATAGAAATTAAAATTATAAGATTTCAATAATATTATAAAATATTAAAAAATAAAAAAATTAATAAATAGTAGAAATAAAAAATTATTAAAATTACAATATAGAAATTCAAAAATTTAAGATAAAAAGACAAAAAATATACTTAAAAAATTATTAAAATTAAAATATAAAAATTCAAAAAATTTAAGTGAAAAGATAAAAATATACTTAAAAAATTATTAAAATTAAACTATTTAAATATATAATAATATTATTACAAATAAATTAAAATATATAAAATAAAAATAAAATAACTAAATAATTTAAAAATTGAAAGAATAAAATATTATAAATATTATTTAAATAAATTATTAAAAATATAAAATATAAAAAATTATATCTATACCTCTCAAATAAGATATCATAAAATTTCTTTAAAATTTTTTCTCTATCTCGATCGGTTCGTCAAAGACGTGTTCGTAAAACAAGCGAAAAAGAAAATCTTATTGTCGTCTTTTTTACTGTGGGACACGGTAATTAGACAAAAATATTATTTTACTGTTTCGAACTTAATATGAATTGAGTTTATTTTATTATTGATGGCCAGACGGTAATGATGTAACTGAAATTTACGGTTTAGCTAGAGGTAAAACTTGATATTTGTTGACTAAAGAAATTGTTGATTTCTGTTGTATACTGTTCCGATATTGGAAATCACCGCTGAAGAATCCTTAGCGATACCGAGTTAAAAGAACTTGATAGCAATCTTGACCTAGAATATTTGATAAGAGTAATCCCTTTTCTCTTAGACCTAATCATTGCTATATATAATGGTGTAGTGTTACAGACATGAATCGCACACTCCTCTTTATGATCTCATAAATCACGCCTCATTATGGACTCGTAACTCCCGGTATTTATTATTGATCCCACGGATTGTGGGATTTTATTGATTGTCTGAGTGAGCCAATAAATCTTCTCATATTTGGGTCCCTATTATGGACTCGTCATTTTGCCGATGTGCCTCGAGTTGGTCAATGGGAGACCACCACGGTACATAGCCCTCCATGCTCGAGCACTAAGGTGCGAAGAGCATATTAGATCAATATTTTGCTGACCTACTTCGGTCTGCTCATGGAAGACCACCACGGTACATATATGGATGGAAATTGTAGTAAATTTGGTGATGGTGGCGATGGGCGTGAAATGGCTGAAAACGCCAGCGAACTGTTGATCCAGGATCTTGTTTCTATGGTACTCCCCCTGGTTCCAATTGTATTACAATCCATCTCCTTATGGATATGTTAGCCAACCTCCTCCGCCTCCTCCTTTTTCTATTGTTCCACTCCGTGGCCTTCCCTTTGATTGTAATCAAACTGATGTGGCTGAGTTCTTCCATGGTCTAGACATAGTTGATGTCCTCTTTGTTCATAATAAAGGTGCCAAGTTCACTAGGGAAAGCTTCTGTTTTCTGGGGTATCCTCTTTCTCGTTAAGTGTCATGTCATTCTTCACAAATCTTTATTTCATTTTAAACTATTAACTCACACCTTAATATCCACAAAATTAAATATATCATTCATATAAATTTAATAAATTCATATCATTCACATTTAATGATATTAGAAACAAACTAATGAAAAAAATTAAAAAGAATTAAAAAAATATAAGTATAGAAATTTAAAAAGTCAATTTTAAACTACATGAATTAAAATATAAATTAAATAAAATTATAAGAACTAAAAAAATATTTTTTTATTATTTTGAAAAAAAAGAATAATAAAAGTATTTATTAATTTTTCATTACACATTAAAGATGTTTGTCGATAATTGTTTATTTAACTAGTTCACATCTCACACATTATACAAGTAATTTGAATTCAAGTAATATTTAAAATAATTAAACAAGTTAAATATATTTAACATTTGTGTGTAATTATTTGTGTATAATTTTAGAAATATGTTAAAAATTAAATTTATAAAACAAAAAAAAATAAAGGGCAAAGTGAAATTTAGCCTAAATTAAAAAATATGTATTGTGTAACTATTTGATTAGTCACTATATTTACTATATATTTAGTCTTAACACAATTGAAAGAATAGACAATCATTAACTAACCTAGATTTATCATGCAACAGTCACCTGATCATTCATGCATGATATGTATGTATGTATGTATATGCTTAAACAGGGTTACATATATACAAATACATCAATTACATTATTGTGTGCAAAAATAAACTTAGTTATTGGTCAAACATCTAAACCAAAAACAATCTATATAAGAGTAACATTTCTAAAATCGGGTCATCACCAACATGAACCCCACCAGACTACACAAG